GAGGCTAGACGACCGGACGTTGTCAGATACGGTATTTTTGTATCTTCGGTTGTTTACACAAAATATAGCGCGCTCCCGTTCGGACCACCTACCGTATTGGCAGCGCTGTTCTGGAGAGCGTAGACGAGATCAAAGATCTTGGCGTCACAATTGACAGCAAGCTGTCATTTTCGGCGCACGTGTCCCGGATTGTATGCCAGGCAAACAGGGCCCTAGGCCTGATGATCAGAACCTTTCAGGCCGGGACTAAGAGATCGAAATTTAACAAACATACGTTACTCGTTACTTACTATGCCAATGTTCGTTCAATTTTGGAATACGGTTGCGTGGTCTGGGCGGGAGCGGCCAAATCCCACACAGAGCGGGTTGATCGTGTGCAGCACAAATTCTTGTTGTGGTTGAATAGCCACACATCCTCGCCATGTTCCTCTCTGTCCTATCCTTCTCTTCTGCATCATTTTGGTATTACATCACTGTCTGTCCGTAGAAACCAACACGACCTGCTCTTCCTGAGGAATATCCTGGCCGGTAAAATCCGTTCTTCTAACCTCCTTGGTAGATTTCCGCTCCATGTGCCGCCGCGATCAACCCGCTCACAGCGGCTCTTCGCCGAGCTTCCCTGGCGCGTACGGACCGTCGGGGATGGTTTTCTGCGCCGACTACCGAGGGCCATGAACGTGTTTTTAACTAGAAGTCCCGCTGATGTTTTTAGCGATAGTTTCTACACTTTTAGAGGACACGTTTTAAACTATGTGAAAGGGCTGGAAGCGGCGTGATCGCATCCGCTGTGCTTTTAGTGTTTCTTGTTTACTAGGCTTTTTAGGCTATTATTTATTTATTTACATCTCCTGTGTTTATAACCCTACGTGTTTTTATCTTCAGTGTGTGTGTGCGTATGTAGGTGTGTGTGTGTTGTGTGTGTGGGTGTGTGCTGTTTTACTGTCTCTTTGACTTCGCCTTTTAAGTGGACTTATTGTCTGTTGGCGATTTTAAATATACAAATAGCATCAACCGGAAACGAGGCAATTAGGACTTCTTACAAACTAAACAAGGATAGATGCCTGACTACAAGTCTGCGTATCGCTTCTAGCGGCTCACCAAGCTACCAGAACGAGAACGGAAAAGCTGCAGCACCTCGTGTGGTAACAGCTAGCGAAAGTCTCTCAGTGAGCAGCCGGGCAGGCGTGAACTAAGTGCCCGGTTTCACAGAAGTCCCCGTCCGTAACTTATTGCTTCAGCGGCAATTGAGTGTGATAAACCCGACTCCCCTCTGCAACGAGCCCAGAGACTGGCAGCGAACACTTCAGGGGCGCACCTCAGATTACGCCAAGTTCGGGAAGGACCCTTGGGGGACGGGCGGTAACAAAGGAATCCCCAACAAATCCACAACGGAGTCGCGATGAATGCACAGCGAATCCATAGCGAGTTCACGGCGGAATCACATCCAGGATTCACGGAAACGTAAGTCTGGTTCCGGTCACGACCAGCCGCGGTCACCCGGTCACGGATAGCTGCTCTCCTCCCTCCCCTCCTCCTCCCCATTTGGCACGGCATAGCGGCCCGCGCCGGATGTATTTATATAAAACCGGCGCGCCCCAGAGCCCCCGAGCGTGTCCAAGACTTCCGCGAGGTTCGTGCCTCACTCGGCGAGCTTTTTTCCTACAAACAGTAACAAAGGAACGGGTTAGATTGAGTCTGGAATGGGTCTGAGAGGTCACACCGAAGCTTCAGTGTGAAGGTAGGTGAGGATTCGGAAGGACAGCGTCCCTGACGCGTGAAGTGGGAGCATCAGCGCCCACCTGCGGTTTTGGGCGACCGAGGAGACGGCGGTGCCACTCCGTGACGCGGCAGGGACGCCCGTCACGGCGCCGTAACGCGTCACGTCACGGTACTGGCGTGACGCGGATGGCGGTGTGACACACGAGCCAGCGCTCTACGGGGGTGAGGCTTCTCTCATTTTCTGCGGGGTGTGATGACGCTAAAAGGTCATTACCACACTAACTTGGAACGTCGGCGGGATAGTCGTAACCAGCTCCGTTCCGGCTCCGTGGATGGGCCGATTCGCCGCATGAGTTCTCACAAAGCAGTACCGGTAGGAGCGCGACCTCTGCCGCGGCTGATTGGCTGCTTGATAACCGTCATCAGCCGCCGCTAACCCGTTCGTGATTGGTCGGACGACCCGTCCATTGTCACAGGGAAGTGACGCTTGGATTGAATTGGCTGTAAACTGAACACTTCAGCACTCGAATGGTGCCCAGCTGTTCAGCATGACTCACTAATAGAGGTATGTTGATTGTTACCACGTGTTCATTACAGACAAAAGTAGGCTAATACATTCATGCCGATGTCAGCTGGGAGCTTTATCAGGAGGAGGTATGCAAGGTCGATTACGTAATCCCATGACCATCCTCCCTCCCTCCCACTCTCCTCTCTCTCTCTCTCTCTCTCTCTCTCTCTCTCTCTCTCTCTCTCTCTCTCCCGGACACACACACACAGCCAGCCCCACACCGCCGGCACACCCAGTCCGAGACCTGAGCCTGAGCGGAGAGCTGCGTTTGTTCCGCGCGGCCCCTGCGCCGATCTCCTAACGCCATGACCGGCGGCGTAGCACGTACGCGCTCGCTCTGCTCTTGACACACTGACGGGCGGGCGGCCGAGTCAAGGCCAGCCTGCCCTGCCCTCCGCCGGCAGAGATAGGATGAGCGGCGGGCCGGCCGACCTGCCGGCCGGCTCCGGTGCTCAGTATGCGCGCCGGAGGACAGTCTGACGGGCGACGGTCGGCTCATGGCCAGTGGTCAGCCCGGACGGACCGCCGCACGGCCTTTTATGGCCGCTGGCCGGCCCCGCTCATGGTGACGCAGAAAGTGGGCCTGCCGGACGGGATCTTTCGTAGAGGTTCGGAGCTCTGAGGCTCACTAAGAGCACGACAGGGGTGTGGAAGCCACCATGGGTCACATGCTGGAGGACAAGGCATTCTTCCTGAAACGAAAGCACACAAAGTTGAAGCTCATGTTAATACAAACGGTTGCAAAATGCAAAATACCCCAGATGTCATATGACCAATGGAACCTAGTTCAAGCTCATGGCAACATGATCGCTTCGACGTCATTGCACTCCTAAAAACACCAGATCCATGTCTGCACCTGCTGCGTGTTGGCGAGACCGGTCCTATCGACTACAAATGGGCTGCACATCGGCCCGAGGACTGGTCAGCGCTTCGGTCCATTGGCTACCATATTGGGCCCGGTGTGTTCACTGATCGATCCTATCAGAGACCCCGGCCGGTCCGATCGCCGAGTGTCGCCAGCACGCACCCTCCGCCGGAGGTGTGCGACACTCCTTACCGAGCCCCCTGCGGCTGTTCAGAGGGTCCCGCTGTCGTGTTCATCAGCTAATTCCCCAAAACGGGGGTCCGTGGTGCTCCAAGCTGCATGTAACTTCACTTCCAGATATAGGCTCACACAACACATGATACAGGGTAGCAACAGCTAATGGAAATGTTCATTGGTTGCATTTCACATCGATCGGGGATATTTTATCATATAATCAGCATTGCTGAATGAAATCGCGCATATGTGTATGCATGATAAGTGCTTAATACGATCGTCGGTCATTTCATTTCCTACCAAAAGTCAGGTAAAATAGATATGACTGCGCTGACAATCCAGATAACTACAAGGTTATTTCACACACAGACAAAAACCGAATGAGCTCATCTCACGTACATACCAAACGTCTATTCGTGCAAACAACAGAAAAAGTGCGGTTGCAAATTACCATCTGCCTAGAAAGGCATGCTCACTTCTTTAAGTGCACATTTGCTCGGTTCAGCAATTAGTAACAGACTCTGCAGGTTTCAAATTGATTAATAGGCTACCGTGATAAAGTAATCTGACAACAGCGCATCGTGGTCCGAACAATGCTTCTGGACGAAAGCCGCGGAAAACAAAAGGCGTCCGGGCGCAGAAGAAACTGTTAGCGTTACACAACACTGGCACTGGACCAACGAGTTTAGAGGGGCCGTTTATAAAGACCATCACAGAGTCGATGTACGATACAAAACAAAGGGAAGCTTATGTTCCTCGCCCTCTCAAAACGCAAATTCAGGACCTTCCCGACAGGCCAAACTGACCGAGAGCCACCCCAGTATAGCAGGCGGCTCTGTGTCCGGCTCCTGGCAAGGTCAAGGAGAGAGGCACGCATTGAGGTCAGCCCCAAACCACAGTCAATCAACGCACGTCTTAGGTAACACGGCATCAGGCTGTTTTTCTAACCTCTGCATCACCGAACGTCCGTCCGCCATCAGTTTCGGCTGTTCGCCTCAGCCGTAAGCGCCTGCTGTTTTTGTCAAAACATTCCATAGCCTGCTGGTAAGAACGCTCACATTATGACACCAGTCATTTATCATATCCCCCAGAATGTGGGTCATTACGTGCTATCATTACGGTTAGCTTAGCCGAGACCCTGAGGGTCGCCGCTATTGTTTGCTGGCTGAAATGTCCTCAGGCCGGTCGTATACTTCTGAATTAGCCACCTGAATGACACACCTGCGCCCTTACTCTCGCAAGTCTCTCCTATGCCAGCATATTTCGTCCCACTAATTTATCTTCGGTATACCTACAGTAAGATTTTTTTCTCCATCGTCTATCCCAGTCCTACTTCAAGAGTATCTGTCTCCCATTTATCCTCCCCTGTCGAACCCTTCCCTCCATTTATCCCTTTCTTTTTAATATTCCGCCACCTTTCCCCCTTCACAATTCGACCTCTCCCTCATCAGACTGATGTCTCCTCTAATCTGACCCAACCCATTTCTGCAGTCTGACCCACAAGACCCTCCCACTGACCGGCTGGCCTTGATCCCCCACACACGCACACACATTTCGTGTCCGCTTCGGCACGCGACTCTCCCGTCATCTCTCGGCGGAGGCTGTGACCTGCTGACCTGACCGACTGCGTGAGGTGCGTGTCAACCTCTGACCTCCCTCCCTGCTGTGTTACAGGTGCGTGACCTGCTCGAGCGGTGCACGTGTCCCAGCCAGTTCCCCATGATCAGAGTGTCGGAGGGTCGCTACCGCATCGGAGACACCAAGACCACCATCTTCGTCAGGGTGAGTTCCATGACCGTGACCTTTGACCGGCGGGCCGGGAAACTTGACCCGTCATATGTGCTTGTGATCCGTGATTTTCTATCCGTGGCCTATGACCTGCGACCCGTGATACGCAGCTCACAACCTGCAACCCGTGACCCTTGGTAGATCACATAACCATGTGACGCTTTTACGTAACGTCAGAATCGCCCAAAGTTGCATCAGGGTGCTGAGGTTTAACCCCTTTCACTCGTTTGGGACCGGGAAGTGGTCACATTAAATTTCGCCGCCGCTCGTATCAATTTGTGCGCCCGCGCTGGCGTGTCATGATCTGGGTGCCACTGGTTGTGTTCCGAGCCAGGTGTTCCGATCTCGACTCGGTGCTGCTGTGATGATCAGATAATGGCCCCTTCCGTAGCTCGGATAATCGACGCCGGGCTGTTACATTGCTACCGGACCCAGTAGAGCATTGCGGTTACAGAGGTGCCTCCAGCCTCATTGTAGTTTTTGTGACCGACTCTCTTCAGCCTCTTTTTGGGTATACATAAACAACGTGCATGGCGTCTGCTGGTGCACCGTCGAAATTTATTTCCCTTTATCGAAACTTCCCCAAAGTTGCTTTGCATTGCCCTTCTCTGCCTTGGCTCATGACCTGATATTATTTGAAGTCCTGGCTGTAGATATGAGTCTAGTCAAGATCCAGTCTCCCCTATTTTTCGTGCAGAGATCGGCCTGACGTCAGTCAAAAGATCAGAACCGTCCCTGAGATCAACACAGGTCAATCAGGCCCCGTCTAAACCGAGCCTTTGCCAAGTTCCGGCTCCCCTCCCCTGACCCTGACCGGCCGACCGCGGACCGGCGGGTCCCATACAGACCGGAGCTGACCCCGTGACCCCGCGGACCGGGCCGTGACCCGACTGACCCCACCATTGTGCGGCACGCGCGGCACCGCTCCCTCACTCACGAGCTGTCACCGGGGACAGGCAGCCGAGGGGAGAGGGACGGAGGGAGGGACCGCAGTCATTGGAGAGGTCCAAGGCTCGGGTCTTGACCGAGAGGGTAGGAGAGGCGGAGATAGGGAAGCAAGAGAGTTGACAGGAGCCTGCATAGAGTAGGAGAGGGAGGGGAAATGAGTGGAGAAGGAACTGGGAAAAGGAAAGGGAAGGAGGGATTCTCGGGTGTCGCGTGCTGACCTGTAGGTACCGGTGACAGCCGTGAGTCGACCGTCCCGTCCCGTGTTCCGACTAACACGCCGCCTGCCGAGGTTAATAGGCTACTGCACGCTCGTGACGTCATCCGCCCCGTGTTCCGTTAATTGAATAGCGTGTACCGGCGCAGGCTGTGCGGGCCCGGTCCTCGCGCTAGGATTGCATGCTTCATGACGGCTGCCCAAGGTCGCTGATAGGCCTTGAGCAGAGGTGAGCGCAACTCGCGCCTACTTCTGTCTTCGCCGAAAAGGGTACTTGAGTGGGTATCAACAGTATGCAATATATTTGATACATCGGCTTTCAGGTCATGAAGCTTGTTTTGTTTGCGAAATACCACTAAAAGTTTGATAACCTTGCCAGTAACAGCCTCATATCCCGTTTTTATGCCTGGATCCAACCATCACTGCGCCATTAACACCTTTTAACGGCCCGTGAAACATTTACCGCACTCTGTCGGTGACTGGCTGTCGCAAGGAGTCACCTGCTGCTCGCACTGGACCGTTCATATTGTCCGTCAGAGGCGAGGTGTCACCCCCCCCCCCCCATCCGCCGTCGCCCCGGCTCGCCGCACCCCGGCGCCGACAGCCCAGCAGCTCCAGTCAGGGCATGCCGCGCGCCGCCACTTCTTTTGTGACGACCTTATGCAACAGTGGGAGCGCGTGCGGAGAAAGCCATGTCATGTCACGTGCCATGAACTGGCGGCGTGTGCCGGGACTGCTGCCGGAACCGACTGCAATGTCCTCACTTCCTGCGCGCTCGCCTCTCACGAGCTGCAGCGGGCGGGCGCGGACAGTCCCGGAGACTTTGTGCAGCGGCGCTTTGTGTACCGCGGGGCGCGCTGGACGGGGAGGACGTCCGGAGCCGTGAGGAGGGCGACCAGCACGGAGGGCGTCGCCCCCGGCGGCTTCACGAGTGGCTGGCTGCACGGCGGTGGCACGCCACGCCGGCCGGCTGTAGTCGAGCTCCTGCCGGTCTGCTCGGTCCAAAGGCGCTCACCGGCGCCCGACCGGCCGCGGCGCCACACTCCAGGGCGTTACGCCTGTGTTGGTAGCCCGTTCGGCGGAGCTCACCGCCGTCTGTCGTGGTCCACTCGTCCCCTGCGCGAATGGATGACAAGGCGCACATAGTGCCAATGTGTACGCGTTAACACGCTGCTGTCATGTGCTTTCTGCTCTATGTTTACGCTGTTTCACTTATCACCTATCAACCTCAGTATTTCATTATGGTCACTCATATCACATTATCCTTTGTAGTCTCACCAGATTAACTCAGCGGTCTCTGACCCCTCTCACAGGTGCTGCGTAACCACGTGATGGTGCGAGTCGGCGGCGGCTGGGACACGCTACAGCACTACCTGGACAAACACGACCCCTGCCGGTGCAAGGCTGGTGAGTGACCCGGCCGAGCTGGCCCGTCCCCAGCCGGACGGAGGCGGAGCTGACCCGTCCCCAGCCAGCCGGGCTGTCCTGTTCCCAGTCCGTTAGCTTTGAGAACGATCGCCGGGCTTTAGTTGAGGATTACCGTGGAAAAATAGTAGGCATAAACAGTTGCAGCAGCGGCCGAGGGTGGAGGTCGCTGCACCAATCGTGACAGCCGTGAATAGCTGACTGACAGCAGAAACGTGACACCCGTGACACTCAGTCTGACACAAAAGGCGTGACACGCATGACACTTGGCCCGACACAGGGGCGTGGCCGAGTGACACTTGTTACATGTTAGACAGGTGACAGTTGTGACAGTTGGGCTGACATAAGAGGCTAGCGCGTGACGGCGGCGGCTCAGAAGTGACCGCGACGTTGATTACATAGTGTGATGTGTCCGTGATGGCCACATTACCATACCAAGCTTAGGTCGACCCGAGAAAACGAACGGAGGGTGACCTGATTGTGAAGATATGCATATAGCAAGGACTAAATTTAGATCTACATCCGTGCATAGAATCGTACTTTACATGGCTAATGTCAAAACGGGACTGGATGGTGTCACGTGCCTCGTGCACATTACATTCACCGAGGTCCAAATTAGGCTCGACACTTTCAAAATAGCACTTTTATAAAGTGAGACGGCCGTCACCTTCGTAAAGAATAGGTCAATCAGACGACCGCGGTCCGCAATCTATAACCTTGTGACCCGATATGGTCACCCGCTCCCCTGAGCTGTCCTCTCGGCCGCCGTCCCGTGCACGCCCGGTGCACAGCTCTGTGCACTGTCTGTGCACGGTGAGTGGAGAGCGCGGCGCGGCGATTTCTCACGACCGCCGGGTTACGCCTCGCACGAGCCGTCTGTGCACAGTGTGCACAGTGCACACAGCCGGTGCACGGTGGACGTGCGAGGCGGCGCGGCACGCGCGACACGATAACACTCCGAGGAGCTGGGAATGTCTCCAAGGCCGGCCCGACTCGACTGCAGGGCGGCGGGCAGGACAGTCGGGGGGGGGGGGGGGGGGGGCGGACAGTGGTCCGGTGAACCGTGTCCGGTCCGTTGGATGGTGTTTTGACTCCGGTCACGAGCGGTCACGGCGGGAGAGATGGTCCACCGACCGCGACCACCCGGCTGTCGGACCCTGCTCTAACCGCAGCAAATTCACGTCCGCCGCCGCACGGCACTAGCGTCTGGGACTCTAACGGAATCGCATTCAGGCGTGCTTTAAATGTGTCAAAGGGCGACACAAAGCTTCCGGAAGCAAAGGGTCGCCTATTATCAAAGCGGCAAATATTCATTATTCATTAACAAAACGCCCTATTCTAGTCTAGACTGTACCGCAATACACACGCTATAAGGCTGTCCCGCAATACCTTTAACCCTATTCCTGGCGGGCTCCGCCGGGACAAGAAACTGGCGGGGGGGGGCCGATTCGGCCCCCCCCTGAGATCTCGAGAACGAAGCAAGATAGCGACAAGCGGTAAACGGCATCGGATACGCACGGCCAAGATCTACAATTTTTACAAAGGTCATTTTCAGGTCAGGTCAAAGATGACGTCACAGGGGTCGAAAAAGTCAAAATGGCGGCGCTAGATATGGAGAGAGTTTTTCTCGAATAACTTTCGAATTAGTCAAGATAGGAACAAACTAAGGGCATCATCGTGATCCTCTCGTCAATCCGCATCGAATGATATATATGTTGACCTCGAAAGGTCAAGGTCAAAGGTTGACCTCAGGTCACGTGACCTCGAGGTCATCATGTATATCATTCGATGCGTCTTGACGAGCTGAACACAATGAGACCATCCACGCGTCTGTATCTTGTTCCTGTACGGAGTTATTGGCCAAAAACCTTTGGTGACCTTTGATGACGTCACATGACCTCACAGCTGCCCAACAGCAAAACAGACCTCAAGGTAGTGAAGGTTGATCGTATATGAAGTCATGTATGGTATATGGGGCCATTCCGACCCGTTTTAGTGGTAAAAACAGGGAGTTGATTTTTCCCCCATTGACTTATAATGGGGAGGTCGCAAAATTGACCTGACCTTAGGTCACCGATATCAAAATTCCGAGATATACAAATTGCACATACTGGTACCCTAACTAAACCCTGAAGAGAAGAAATTGATCGGTCAAAAACTCTAGCTCTGGCGTGATTGCAAACTTTTCTGAGGTAGGGTCACCAAACCGCCTCTGGTGACCTGACCTGAGGTCAGATCAACTCAAAATTTTCAGACATGTTGCGTAGAAGCCTTTTAGGAAAAGTCAGAAAATTTGAGCTTCCTAGCTCAACGCGTTTGGGAGAAATAACCAAAAAACCTCAGGGGGGGGCTCCTGAGGCCCCCCCCCCGCCAGGAATAGGGTTAAGACTGATTTTAGACTGCCGTCCCGCAATACCTATAAACGCCTGAAGGTAGACTGTCCCGCAATACAGACGCCTGATATTAGACTTTCCCGCAATACAGACAAAGGCCTGATATAGGACTATCCCGCAATAACTGCAAACGCCTGATTTTAGACTGTTCCGCAATACCTATAAACGCCTGAAGGTAGACTGTCCCGCAATACCTATAAATGCCTGAAGGTTGACTCTCCCGCAATACAGACGCCTGGAGGCAGACTATCCCGCAATATGCAAGAAAGTAACGTCTGTGTGTCCGTAGTGTAGACGTGTCGGAATTCTCGACCTCTAAATCACTGTGTGTGTGTCACCTAGTTCGGTGATCGGCATCATACCTAGGTATATGTATAGTAGGTATCTACATTGTACAATGTACAGGGACCCGCAGTTGCTACTGTACACATATATTACCAATTTAGAATTGCGCTATTATTTGCTAAGTGCTGGCCATTGGAGAAAGGAAATGTAGCGCAAAGTATGGAGGAATAACACATGTTTGCTCCTAGGACGCACGTTTTGTATAATTCCTCTTACCGCAACAGATATTCTTCCAAAACTACAATCGTGCTATTTTTCCGCGCCGGTTGCCTCCCCAGAGCCCGTCCTTGGTATCGCCTATAGCTTCCGTTCCCGCTACGTGAATGAAAGTCACGTGACTACTACAGGTTTGCGCTCAGTACTAACACACCTAGCCCGAGGGCCGGTCCGTAGCGGGGAAGGGTAGAACGCCAGAGCTCCAGCGCAGTGGAGGTGGTGGTGGCCCGTATCATAAAGAGGCAACCGTAAGCAGAACTACAATTGCCGCAGTATGAGATTATGATAAAGTTTTCTTTAAATGCATTGATTGACAAGAAAGTGCAATGCTTATCCGATATAATAAAACGGTGTCCAAGGCCTTGGAAGAACTATAAAACATATTCAGCAACGTATAAATTTTTGATACAGGCCATGAACTTTCACCTTGCCTCCGGGGAGGACCGCTCAGGAAGCCACATACCGAACGAATCGAGGCCTCGCAGCGCGGCGGCAGGGAGGTGGATAAACCATCGCCAGATCTTTCAGTTACTTATGTTTCCAGAAGAAGGAGGGGGGGCGGGTGGAGGGTGAGCGCTGTTTTCAACCCACTCACCAATCTCTTCCTTAGTAACTTATAGCTTACCGAAAAAATGCAACACAATGGTAGCCGTCACGAAATGTAGCGAAGAGTGCCTCAGCCACATCGGTTTTGAGTAATTGGAATTCAGGCCAGTGATCCTGAAGCATTATTTTATTTTTGTCGTGCATAAGCTGGGATGACGTGGTCCAAGTTAATTGCGAAGAGACGGTTTTAGTTTCAGAACATTTATGAGGCTAATCGCGCCAAATAGTATACGTTTGTTGCAAAATGTCAAATACGACAGTTTGCAACAAACGTTGACGTGCTATCCTGATGATGGAATTTATTTGACACAAGAAGTCAAAAGGCCTGGCTATACACTATGCGTCAGCGTTTTTGCGTGCGTTTTTTGCGGGTTTGCGTTTTTGCCTAATATCGTTCTAGAAAAAGTAAAAAATAATATAATTTTTACATTAGTTATATGCAGAAGTTAATATAACTCTTATATTAAATACAATTAAATATAAAAAACATCACAAAAACGTAATATCGTTTATTTTCCTAGAACGATATTACGCAAAACCCGCAAACACGCAAAAAACGCACGCAAAAAACGCATAGTGTAGCCAGGCCTAAAAAGTGGCATCGTTAGTCATCCTGCATACCTATAAATCGATTCGTCACCTTGGTTCGAGCTCAATAGTTCTTTTCGCGGATGATCGGTTTCGTTTTCTTTCTTTCTTTCTTTTTTTTTGGGGGGGGGGGACAAAAATGGCTCATCTTGCCCCACCTGTGGCCATTTTCGATTAATGACACCCGCTAAGGAAAATGACCATGCACCGCAGATAACAACCATCTCATTTTAAAGGCAAAACATGTCTTAGTTATCAGGAGCGATACCACATGTTACCGGGTGCTGAGCGTGAGAACGTTGCCGTCTCACGTGAAAGACTGCAGCCTCGTAAGCGAACGGCACATGGAAGCTCAAGTAAATTAGCGCCATAGGAGCTGAGAAACATGGGGTGGCTAAACTTGCCCCTTGGCTCATCTTACCTCACTCTCCCCTATTTGGGGCTCTCGAAACTTTGATCTGTTAAAGTTATTTGTCTGTTCATTATAAAAGCTGTCAAATTTGCCGTATCATTAAACTTTTATTGAGATTGTATTTCACACTTATCTAAAATGAACAATTTTGTCACCGGCTTCTTTTATGAATGGAATTGGATGGTCGCAAGAATGAACGAATGAATAGCTCCATTTGAGCATCAGCTGAAATCAATCCTAAATTTTAATCTACCAGTCTGCAACGAAAAGGTTTAAAAACCAGTGCAAGTTAGGCGCAATTTCTAATCTATGCCGTTTTTTATTAAGTGTCTCATAGCTCCTTAATCTTGAGCCGCTTCTCTCACGATTCATATTATGTGGTGCTTACATTGTTCAAGAAGTTATAGTATTCGAGCTCGTTGGTCTTAAAAACTACTATCGAAGTAAATTAAAGTGCTTCGGGCTTCGGCACTTAAAAACCAATCGATATTTAACCCTCACCCATTAAGCATTTCTTTTCAGCGTCTTACATGTAGCGGAGGGGCGTAGAAACCCTCAGCCATTCGGCCCTTGATAAAAAGAGCCAGAGCTTCGCTGAAAAATAAAAAAAGAGCGAAGTGCCGAGCGAAGTGACGAGAGAAATCCGATGATTTGAGGGTCCTGGTCATCGCTGACGAGAGAAAGCCAATTATTTTTATGTCCTGGTCAATGCTGAGATCCTAGGTCACTGGTTGACCTCCCAGATCAGGTTAATAACCCAAAAGCACGGAAAATTGAGTCCTGCTAGAATTTCTACAAGTGAAGTTTGCTGGGACTTGGCTTGCTTTTGACTCCGAATTTGCACTTGCTTTGGTCAAGGATGATGTATCAAAGCATTTGGGGTAGGACGGAAGATGTGCGCTGACTTTCAATTGCTATTCTGGCCTGACATGATCTTGAGAAAAATAATTACAGGTTAAAGGTAATTTGGTTCAGGGATTTAAAATTCTCAGAGAAGATGCAAAAATAATAAGGGCTATTTAATTTTCCGGGAAGTTGTAAAATTGATAAACTCCAGGGCACCAAAGAATCATCGCAATCCTTCGTTTTGCCGCGATTTATTGGTGAAAAACAGGGGGCGCGGTCTACTTAACTACCTCTACTTATATGTGTGGTGACGGCTAATATTCATTTTATCTGTGTTGATGAATATGCAACAATTTCTACATGAACTGAGACCAGTCCATATGAGTATGTTTGTCTCACGGACAATGACAATATAAAAACAATACGAATAAAACCAAACGTTTCGGACAACAACGTGCCTTCGTCAGTGGAGAAAAATAAGTGTATAGGTTTGACATCGATGAGAACTATATGCGGCACCGTCTCGGTCTGGCCAGCCGGGTTGCCGATAAAATACACAAATGTTTATCAGCTTCCATGATGCGCTTAAAAAACTGCTGAAAATATATCTTAAAAAATGAAGATAACTACTACACCGATTTTATCGAAAGAAAACATGTATGCCTTATTACTTATTTCTTGTCACTGACGGAGGCACTTTTTTGTGCGAAACGTCTTGGTTTTATTCGTATTGTTATTGTAGTGTCATTCCCTGTGAGAAAAAAGGATAACTCTTCAGTTAGTAACCATAACAGCGAAACGGCTTAATGTAACACAATTCACTGTGTATACGAAACCTATAAGTCCCTAAAACTAATCCTATTTACAACTTTTAATAATATTCATTCATCTCCACGGAATATGGTAAATTAACCCGCGCACCGACGGGGGGGGGCGGATATCCGCCCCCCCCCCCCTGAGGTTTTTCGCGGATAGCGGGAAAACCGCGGCGCGTAGCGCCGCGAAATTTGGTATGACTATTCTCTCATCAATTTTACACATGGTGTGCAAGTTTGAACCTCCTAACTTTTAAGGTCAGGTCACCAGGTCACTTTGAATGACCCAACCTCAAGTCACTTTTTTGCAACTTTGTCACCGTGCCAGAGCTACAGTAGATGTCGGAGGCCTTTGAAAGTCGCAGGATGTTATAAGGTCATTAGTAGCTACAATTTGTATATCTCGGAATTTTGATGTCGGTGACCTAAGGTCAGGTCAATTTCGCGACCTCCCCATTATAAGTCAATGGGGGAAAAATCAACTCCCTGTTTTTACCACTAAAACGGGTCGGAATGGCCCCATATACCATACATGACTTCACATACGATCAACCTTCACTACCTTGAGGTCTGTTTTGCTGTTGGGCAGCTGTAAGGTCATGTGACGTCATCAAAGGTCACCAAAGGTTTTTTGCCAATAACTCCTTACAGGAACAAGATACAGCCACGCGGATGGTCTCATTGTGTTCAGCTCGTCAAGACGCATCGAATGATATACATGATGACCTCGAGGTCACGTGACCTGAGGTCAACCTTTGACCTTGACCTTTCGAGGTCAACATATATATCATTCGATGCGGATTGACGAGAGGATCACGATGATGCCCTTAGTTTGTTCCTATCTTGACTACTTCGAAAGTTATTCGAGAAAAACCCTCTCCATATCTAGCGCCGCCATTTTGACTTTTTCGACCCCTGTGACGTCATCTTTGACCTGACCTGAAAATGACCTTAGTAAAAATTGTAGACCTTGTCCGTGCGTATCCGATGCCGTTTACCGCTTGTCGCTATCTTGCTTCGTTCTCGAGATCTCAGGGGGGGGCGGTCATCCGCCCCCCCCCCCCCGTCGGTACTAAGTTGGCGCAGACCCCCGTCGGTGCGCGGGTTAATGCTGCTGAAGTTCGCTTTCGAAGCGTCTCCTCAAGGCATTCCACAGCTCTCGTGACATTTTGGATCACGGAACATGGCTGGGCGCAGGACATGTCGTGTGCGAGCTTGGACGGACCACGTGACCACCTCCTCCCCTCCCCCTCACTCCCGTCCCCTTCCCCAGCAGGGCGTCCGATCTAACCGCGCCCCAGGCAGTCGGCTCGGTCCGACCCTCCCTGGTCGAGCCACGGCCCGGTGCCGCCTGAGTTTGTGCCGGGTGCAAAACTGGAGCAGTAACTAGCGCCCGAACTAGTAGTCAGCACGACCATCGTCAGATGGCAGGAGTAAATGGAATAAGCGGTTCCAGGTTTCAGAAGGAATGGGGCAGGAAAAAGCGCTGAAAACAATGTTTTGCTGATATAGCCATAAAAAGTTCACTGAATTGGGAGAGCAGCACATCAGTTTAAAGCCCTTCAGATGGTGGTTTTAATAAGCACACAATCATTTCCCAATTCGCCTCCAACGGTGTCACAGGCAAAGAATACGCTGAAATACTAGTGTGTACAGAACTAAGCAACTGCGGGTCCCTGTACATTTACCAGACTTTTGTAATTGAACGTGTGCACGGGCACGGCTAACGTTATTATGGTGTCCTTTTTATTCTCAGTTAAATGCTGCATGGCGTAATGGGAACGGGAAACAAAAGAGAAGCTCTGAGGACTTATAATTACTTGTCACGTATCTAATTTGTTTCCCTCACCGTCAGATATTTTTGACGGTCATCTTTAGCCTCCTTGACCGTCCATGCCATAATGACTTGGTGCTGACATAGTGCTCATTTTTGCAGAACATCGCAAAACCACGTCGTCCAAGCTGTACATGAAGAATTCGCCGACTGTGGACGGCGACCGCAAACTCTCCGGGGTCACATACGAGCGGTGAGTGAACGACCAGTCACCTGGAGGAACGGCAAGGAACGGTGATTGACGGACCGGACCGTATTTATAAAACAAAGCCGAACAGTCCGAGCATATGCCAGCCGGGACAAACATGTTTATGTGGCATGCTTTCTCAATGAGAAGACACTTAACATTTGTACAAGTAGGTGCATTCTTCACCATTTTGTCACTCCGTACATCTTTCTGCAGTGATGCCACTAACCCTCTGTCGGTGCCCCCTCTCCCTGCAGTGGCGGCGGCGGCGGCGGCGGTGAGCTGGAGACACCCCCGCCGCGTGTCGGTCGCTCGCGCTCTCCCGGCGGCAAGCGTCGCTCGCTGCAGCCGGGCGAGTGTCGCGCTCACGAGGAGGAAGAGTCGGGCTCGGAGCTCTCCGACGAGGGGTACCGCTCGCCGGGACTGGGCAAGACGGCCGCCGGAGCCACAGAATCAGGTGGGTGCCGGCCGTGACGAGGCAGAGGTAGAGTTCCGCATTTGGGTACAAGGGGGAGGGGTTGAGTGCATCGGGTCAGCTGTTTTGTACTATCGTGTTTACAAAGCTCGTTTGACGACGTCTACTGAATGAATAATTAATCGTCCGGCGAGGCATTTATTGGGAGCTACCGTACCGACAGCGCCATCTAGTGTGATGGCTAGATGGCGCTAGTTCCCGGTCGCCGGCACCCTGCCCCGCCGTGAGCTGACTAATCTGTTCCCCTCCACCCGCCAGGGCCGCCGGCCTGGACACCGTCTCCCTCCGACTATGTGGTGGAACTCAACTCCCCGGCCAGCGGGGACAAACAGCGAGGCCGGCGCTCCTCCTCCACCCCCGCCGGCCGACCGGCCAGCGCCGGCACCTCGCCCGCCGCCGCCGGCGCCAAGACGCCCAAAACGCGCCACCCGCTCATCGCCTCGGCCCTGCGCGGCCTCAAGAACCTGCGGCCCAACTCCAGCACCGCTGCCAAGCCGTCGCCGGGCGCTCAGAGCCCGCAGCTGCTGGCGCCGCCGGAGCCGGCCGGTCGGCGGATGTCGTCCGACTCCGGGCGACACTCTGTGCGCGCCAGCCGCTCCAGCCAGGCCCGGACGCCGCGAGGCGGCGCGCACGGCACCTGGGCGGGCGGCCAGCGGCGCGACCGGCCTGCCCTCTCGGCCGACACGTTCCGCCGGCAACCGGCCGGTCCGGCGGCGGCTGTGGCGGCCGGCCGAACCGCCTCGGCCTCGCCGGGGCCGCGGCGCCGCTCCGCCGGCCGGCTGCCGCCCAAAGGAGGCATCCTCGACAAGCTGATGGACACGCCCGACCTGGACGACGACGCCAAGGTGCTGCAGCGGATGGAGGAGCTGCTGCGCCAGTACCGGCCGCAGCTGGAGCTGCCGCCGCTCGGCGCCGGGGCCTCAGAGGACGGCGGACCCGTCTCACCGCGCGTCACACCGCGCAAGGAGGGCGACGGGCCGGCCAAGACCCGGATCCCGGCGCCGACCTTCTTCCAGCCGCGGTCGCCCACCGAGCCGCTGCCCTGAGCGGTGTGACCTCACCGTACGCCGCCGCCCCCCGGCCCGGAGTGGTGCGAGGGAGAGGACAGGGGCGTGCCGGGCTCTTCCGTCACAGGCGTCGAGTCGCTGCCGTATGCCAAACAGGCGGCTCAGAATACCTGCTCTGATTTTAGCTAGCGCAGCTCTCACGATCCTGTGAATCCAAGTCAGTGATTCACTGTCATGGTGGCACAGACGATACGGGAAGGCGAGTGAGCTGCTTCAGCGCGTGAAAGGCAAACCCATCGTGATTAGTTGCTAGTCGCGCCTTTCCCAGACGAGTGTGTGGTGACGTCGGTGCTTTCTGCTTGCGCTGACACAGCTAACTGACGGGCAGCAGCGCCAGCGGTCTTATAATTCAAACACACCCAGAGTACGGTGTCTCTAGTTGCCAAAATATTAACCATACGTGTGCGATGACCAAGTGTTGACGTGGTGCGTACATTATAAGCGTTTCGATTCGCAGACTTGCGTCGTTCGGTCGTGAGGTATTTATTTGTGTCGTGTGTTACGGTAGACATTTCGTACTGTGAAGGGACCTCCAGCGATCACAGCGGCCCCTGTCCTCTGCAGTCGAAATCGGCGTCCGATGGAACCATCCGGCGTCGAAAAACGGCGGCTGTGTTTCTGCTAATGACGGGGCTCTGGCCAAGGATGGCTGACTGTATCTCTGATCTGAGGAAATGTTGACTGTACTACTCGAGGCTGTCGCAGAGGGATAAGTGTGGTGACCCATGAGGTTGGCTGATGGGGGTGGGTCACGCGGTGACCAATGCGAGCGGCGACCGGCGAGCGGCGAACAGCGTCGGGAATACTAAGTGTACGGGTGGGACGGTCACACTGAGGGAGGTGTGACCTCCCGAGCCGCCACTGGTCTCCTGTGAGGACCGAATGCGAGTGGCGATACGAAGTGACAGTTCACATGTGGACTGTCGCACATTTCCTGCCGGGAAGGTACTGAGAGTGAGCTGGGACAGACGCTGGGTCCCGTGGAGTGCGAGGGTGGACCATCCACCCAGAGAGCAGAGCCGTGGTGGTCGGCACGGCGGACCAGGAGGTGAGGAACTAACCCAGTCAGGGCCGAGCCGAGCGGCTGCGCGTCCCCGCAGTGTCAGGTGCCAATGGTGAACATACGCGCGGCGTCATGGTTCAGACCCGCGCTGCAGCTTGTGAGAAAGCAGAGATGTGCATCGGATTTAATAAATACTTTTGATAGAATGGCGTTCTTTCAAATGTCCTAACCACAGACACTAGTCGATGGACACCAATGGGAATCGGCACTCGTGCTGGAATCGTGACAGCAGCCCCACTCATACAGCACAGGTGAAACGAGGGCACTTACGCACTGTTATTTCATGTTATTCTATGGGTGATTGCTGTTAGCTAATTATGGTTTACGAGCACGGTTACGCTTCAGCCTTCCTCACTTCTCCCTCCGGCCTTGCTGGAATGTTTCGTTCCTCTACCGAATAATCATTAGCACATCAATGAGCCTGGGCTAATGTAACGAGATCCTTGCCAGCAATGAGTCAGTGACAGTAGTGAACTGCGACTATCCGCATCATCCGGACCCGATAGGTGACACAAGCAAAATGCTTCTCAGCCCGCCTCGTGAATATAGAAAATACCTCTCGTTTCAGAACAGAACAATTACAAATGCTCCAGGAAGGCCCAGCCAACGCAGAAGCATTAGTTCAATTACTCGCAGATAGGTGTCAGCAATAATAGGTACCGATCAGGCCGCAGCCGCCCTCCCACGGCCTCTTCAACGGAGCCTTTATGTCGTCCATGACTGTCATTTCTTCGTTTCGGACTTCGAATACGAGTCGCACGCCTGAGTGATTTCTACGGAAACGCCGCTTTTTTCGAAATCGGTGCCATTTGGCAGCTTTCCGGCACATTTTTGAGTCAGCAGAGTAGACTCATCACCATTAGTCTCTTCGTACTCTCCCTCCCAGCCCAACCACAACCTCCAGGCAGTCCCCCTCCCAACAGAGACACACCGTTTAGCCATCAGCCGTGTATTGTGTCACGCGGCGACAGCGGAGCGCGGTGCGTCTAGTCGAACAGTCCGAAGCCCATGTCGTCGTCCTCCGACTCCGACTCGGGCTCGGGCTTCTTCTTCTCCTCCTCCTTCGCGGCGGCCGGGGCGGCGCCACCGGCGGCGGCGGCGGCCGGGGCCGCGGCACCACCGGACGGCACAGAGGCCAGCTTGGTCAGACCTGCGGCGGGAGCGAGCGGTCAGTAATGGCGGCGGACGGTACCGTATGGGGTCAGTTAGCACTCACCACATCGCTGGTTACTCACTAATCGTACACCAGTACTCTAAGATTGCTGCTCAATGAAGTAGGGATAAAGCACTCCTGAACAAAACTATGCCGATCAGGCCACCTACACAATACGCAAAGAAATGACACCTAAACTGAACTTTGATCGACAAGATCATTTTGTGCTTTCAGGCGCTCAAACTGAGTCGCGAAAAAAAAAAACTCCCACGGGGCGGGCTTCGTTCTAGGTTCTCAGCTCCCGCCGAAACATCTCCACAAGCCCAACAGACCTATGTTACGACAATGCGACTCCCCTGATCACCGGCTACCGCTCGTTCAAGTACGGAACTAGCTACACAGGCACTTGCCAAGTCATACGAACACACCAGCCTAGTCTCACAGAACCCTGTCCTTACCGGCGGCGATGACGTCATCGACCTTCTTGCCGGCCATCTGGCTGACGACGAGGTCGGCGCGGCTGTCCTCGCACTCGATGCCCACCGAGCCCAGGATCTTCTTGATGTCGTCCTTGGACGGAGCCTTGCCGCTCTGCGCGGCCAGCAGGTAGGCAGCCACGTAACGCATGCTTACGCACTGAAACAGAGCGCAACGGTCAACCGAGGGTCTGGTGGTGGAATACTTAGGGAAAGCAGCCATCTGCTCGGGTAGCATACTGGCCTACAATGGAAGACAGTCACTTTCTGGGATACTCTGGCACATATAATAACAAATTTACTGTTGTTCCAAAAAAAGAAAAATACTTCAAAACTTATATTCAGTGTCAGAAGTTTGATGCATGCATGCTTACTGCATGCTAATTGGCTGAGCTTGGCCTCTGCAACAGGTGGAGTATGTGTGAGGATGAAGTCCAAGTAGATAAAATCAGACTAGCCTGACACATTGTCTGTTTATTGGAGCCTTCGGGTGTGCGACTGCTGGGGTCATTTTGTGCCCCAGCCTGACCTAATCTGACCTACTAAATACTAATAGACTAATACAACCTACATCCCTACAACCTACCACATGGATTAGTTGGGATTGAGGTTACAGTTGAGTATTTTTGAACTCTTATTTCCATTAATCAGTTTGGTGAAACTTAATGACCCTTACCTACATTTAAAAAACAATGTTTATCTCATGCCATAAATTGATATTGGTGCATCATGTCAGTCATAAGTGCATGCATCATGTCATTTGTCCTTGTCAGTGCAGAGTTGGGTACCTATTCTCTTAGCAGACAAACATCGCCCGAGCTGCCATATCTAGCTAGGTAGGTTTTAGTTTGGTAAGTTGTAAGTAGGGTAAGGTCAGGTTAGATTGATTTGTTACATATTTAACTGTGAAAAGACAATTGCAGCTCACACAAGACGTAGATATAGGGCCTGTTCCAGTGCCTCAAGAATTATAGAAATTATTGACTGGAGGCTCTACCAGAGATTCCACTGGAGGTGCTGGAACACGATCCGAAGATTTTTGGAGATTGGTGTCACAGATACCAAAAGAATGATGATGGTTCTCTGTTGAAACACAAAGTATGTTTAAATTTAAGTCAGAAAGATTTTGTTTACATTCATGATTGTCACATGAGCGCTATAATTGTAGACGAGACCCTCCATGGACATGTGGACCTCCCAACTCTCTGGAGGCTACTGTAGGGACGACGGTGAAAACAGGGCGCCTGGGGCGATTTGATCAAGGTTCGTGAAATTCACACGTGATGTTTTACCTGTAGAAGGCCCATGAAGGGGGAGAACTTCCAAATGTCACGTGACTAATATGCCCTCCGGCGCCCCAGTCTGCAAAACGTGGCAGGCTTCGACGAGATCTCGTCGGGGCAGACACCACAGGTTGGGGCAGAAATAGGGGCAGGTTTCAGGAAGATTGGGGCAGAAACAGGAAAATCTGGTGCAGAAGTTAAAAAATTGACACAGAAGTGATTTTCTCAGCTTCTTACTGCTTCCTACATCATTATATCGTTACATTATTTGCATCATTAGGGGCAGGAATTGGGCTGCCCCTGGACTCAGCATTCTGATTCGGGGCAGGATTTTGTCTGCCCCGAAAATCTTGTCGAGCTCCCTGCCATGTTTTGCAGACTGGCCGGCGCCCTGTTTTCACCGGCGTCCTACTGTAGGCGCTGGAAATTATTTGGCGGGAGCTTTCTGGAGTTGCTGGAACAGGCCCATGGCAGCAAAGGCGACGTCTGCTAAGAGAGTAGGTACCCAGAGTTTGAGTTGTTGCTCAGCCACGGAGGGTGCTGGCACAGGCTGTTAGTAATTTATTTGAACTACCACCTACAAGTGTTAGTAGCTTCATGCAGTACCCCCAGACCCAGTGTAATAATATTCTGCTAATAAGGGCCACTATGTCGACACTGGACAGCCTGAGTCGATTTACTTCTTGTTTCAAGCTCGATGCTGACAAACGACGCTTCACAGTGCAATTTTACGCTCTGGACTAAACGGACTTCAATGTTGTGCCCCAATCAGATGGACCAAACTGAGGGTTATACTAAATCATAATGCAGAATGCCAAAAAAGATAAAAACTTACCTTTTAAGTCTTACGACACGAAACGTGTACTGCACCGCGCTAAGTTAGCGTACAGAAGGAAGTTTGCGACGGTGCCGTTCAGGAAACAACAAACTCTTATTTTCACAAAATAAAATATTGTAAAACCATTTTCAAAAAAGCACTTATAAAAACAAGATATTCACAAAAA